CGCGACTCGAAGGCGGCTCTAGACGACGACTCCTCCTCCTCCTCCTTCTCCTCCTCCTCCTGCTTTCCTGCGCGGCGGCCGCGAACAGAGTGAAAGCGACAGCAGCCCCGCTTCGGCTACAAATGGCCGTCGGGAGGTGGGGGCAGCCATGCAAATAGTGGTGAATATGCAGCGGGTGGGCAGGGGTTTTCTTTCCCCGTGAGCGGAGGCGCGCCTGGTGAAGCGAGCGGAGGCACGCGCCCAGGCATTGTCTAAGCGCGGGGGCGGCGGGGGGGGGGCGCGATTTCACACTTTGGAACCTTTCGAAAAGATCGACGCCCTTTTCTTGCCCGAGGCACGGCTGGAGAGGTTTCTTTTTCATCTCCCCAGTGAAGAACCCCACCCCACCCCCATTGCCGTCCGTGGAAGGAATTCACGCCCGGCGAAATCTGGGCTGCTTCGCCTCACGCTCGTTCGCGTACCAGCCACCTCTGATCCTAAGACCTCTTCAAGCGCGTTGGGAGGAATGGATTCCAGATGTGCTTAAAAACATCGTTCTGTTCAATTTGCTTTACATCAAAGAATCCTTCTACCCCTTGGATAAGAGTTTCCTTTCAGGCAGGGGTATCCCCTGATGCTTTATTAACCCAGCCCTGCAACATAAGGAGATTGTCTTTACTTGTACCAATCCTTTCTCCAAGGAATTGGCCGGGAGAACTTGCTTATGGTCCCCCAATTCTGCAGAGCAAAGAAGGCTGAGGCCTCTAGGCACAGTGTTTCAATGGCTGCAACTATATTGTAGACCAGCCTCAGGAAAAATCCCACTAGCCCCCATGTTGTTAGCCTTCCGAAAGATATTAAAAACTGAGCTAGACAGGAAAAAATGGGTCGACAAAGCCTTGGCCTGTGGGTGAATACTTCTAGATGAGGAGTGGGCAGCCTATATCTGTTCCCTAGCCCTTTTCTTCACTCTCCAGAATTTGTAGCACTGATTCAACAGAGGATCATCTATAAATAGGCAATGTTTTTTACCCTTTTTGAGGAGAAAGCAAAACAAAAAGGTTGTGTGAGCTATAGGATAGGGAAAATAAAAAGAAAACAATTTTTCAAAAACAGATAAAAGTTTCTTTTCATGAATTCCTCCCTCAATCCTGTTCCTGCCTATTTGTGTGATGTCATCAGAACATAACCCCACCCACTGCTGTCATCAGTGGCCCTTCTCCCAAAAATGCGCAACACTCAATCTGTGTTCTAGACAGATGACGCCTAAACATCATCACTCAAACCACACTGTGCAGCTGTTGTCTTCCTTCAGCAGATGTTCTGTGAAAAGAAAAAAGGTTAAGTTTACCAGTGAAGGATGACATCATCTAGATGTTTCTTAAAATTCTATGAATGAGATGGAATTTGACCAATGAGCATTTAACCTCAGCCTCAGCCTTAACCTAGAGCCTTCAGGAGATACCTAGTTCTTATGTAGTAATCTTAATTCTGATCTTTGTTTCTTTCTGCAATCCTCCTGTTGTTCTCACAACACCTCCATTTATCTCAATGTTCCTTGCACCAAATAAAAATCCAATATGTACCTCATAAATGGCTTGAAGAATAGTGACCAAAAGTACAAATGGCATGGTTGGCTAGAGAAGGCAGAAAAGATATGAACCTGAGCTTTGAGGGACAATGACTCCTCTCCTTTCAGTGATTCATCAATGTGTTTTATCACCATGTCATCTCCCCTAGTTCATGCCCTACCTCGATCATAAGTGTGCAAACACAGGCTATATGCAGACTTCCTCCATTACCTCTTTTTCAGCCCCCAAATGCCCTTAGGTTGAGTGAGGGAAACATTTTTTTGCCTTGTTTCTTGTAAGATGAATGCTTCTCTCTGGTATGTTATATTTAAAACATTGTAAGCCCATCTTCCCCAAACTGATGCTTTCCAGAGATGTTGGATTACAGTGTTCATCATCCACGAATGGCAAAGTGGTGTGCTGGACAGGAATGACAGATCTTGTTGATTAAGATATTTCGAGGGCACTGGAGTAGGAAAGCTCTTATAAACTTCAGACTGAAAGAGTGATGTGCACAGATGTATTTTGTGTGTATGTGCGCGTGTG